GGGGGGTGGGAAGGGGGGTAAGAGGTCAACCGAAGGACTTGTATGCATGCATAGCATCATAACCAATGGACACAAGACACTGGGGGGCATGGGAGGCCAGGGGAGGGTCAAGGGGAGAAAAAAAGGAGACATATATACTCTTTGTAATTCCCAGATCCAATCACTGTGGAGACCATGAGAGGTCCCGAATGATTCAAGTGCTCTTCTTATTTCATTATAAAAGTCAAGAAGACAGGGTCAAGTAAGAGAATGGCTGCTTCCAGACAAATCACATGACTGCATTTTTGCTTTATGTGTAGGTGTGAGGGGAAGGTGGGGGAAAGAAAAAGGATTCCCCAGAGAAAGGGGTGAGCTATGAAGGGTATTTTCAAGGAGAAGTTTACTGGGAACCAACAATCCACCTACTTATGTCCAGCAAAAAGATTAATAAAATCAACATATATATAATCCAACTCAGAACCTTTCTTTCCAAGCTGTTCACCCACCCTATTTCTGTTAAGAGAACCCCATATTCTCAGAATCTAAGGGCTGACTTTTTCACAAGAAGGACATAATGTCACCTTCCTCTCCCTTTCCACATGGTTTCCCTTCCCTACTGGCAGGTCTAAGCAGTCTTCTCCCTCCCACCCCACCGTCAGCGTTTCATAAAGTCTTAGTAGATGAGCATTTCAGAAGGGAAGCTCATTCTTACAGGTGAGAGAACATCCCAGTCCCTTCTCACTCAACCAGTCACACTGGAGTTGCAACAGGTGGGTCATTCCAAAACGAGAAAGGAAAAGAACAAGAGAAAGAACCATTCTTTTTAAGGTTTTGTTTCTCCAATTGCTACCCATTCCCAGTGAACCCTCTACCACCATCCATCTACCCTGTTGTTTGTCTTTGACCATCCATGAGAGACTGCATGTAGAAGGAGAGAGGGAGAGAGGGAGAGAGGGAGAGAGGGAGAGAGAGAGAGATATTTTTTGCTTCATCTCGCCTCCCTCCTCCCCCAGCAGGCGAGGGGGCAAAAGGGGGAGCGTCGCTGGGGGAGGAGGGAGGCAGGGAGGCGCTGCCATATAATTTCTTGAACATACTAACCAGCTGCTCAGCTCTTGCCCTCTGCTCAGCTTAGACCAGCCGTGGGCAAACTATGGCCCGCGGGCCGGATCCGGCCCCTTTGAAATGAATAAAACTAAAAAAAAAAAAAGACCGTACCCTTTTATGTAATGATGTTTACTTTGAATTTATATTAGTTCACACAAACACTCCATCCATGCTTTTGTTCCGGCCCTCCGGTCCAGTTTAAGAACCCATTGTGGCCCTCGAGTCAAAAAGTTTGCCCACCCCTGGCTTAGACGTTTGTAAGTGGACAAGTGCCTCGAGGAAACGGAGCCCAAAGTCAAGCTCACCTCCCTGAACTTCCCTAAGGGGTCTTTGTTGCTCAGTTCTCAGCTACCTTGCTACCTCTCTGACACCTTCATTGCATGTTTTAATTATGGTGGTTGGTTTTTTTCTAGGTTTTCTCAGTGGGAGAGTTGGTCAGCAACAGAAATCTCCTACCTCACCTTCATTTCTCAAACCAGTGTTTTGTGTTTGTTTTTGTTCAGCCTCACCGGTGGGTATTTTTTCCATTGTTTTATTATTATTTATTGTTTAGAGTATTACATATGTCTCCTTTTCCCCCCATTGACCTCTCCCCAGCTGTTCCCCCCCCCAGCACATGCCCTCACCCCCCTACTGTCTGTGTCCACTGGTTATGCTTATATGCATGCACCCAAGTCCTTTGGTTAATCTCTTACCACCATCCCTTTCCATTATTTTTTTTAAAAAAATATGTTTGTATTGATTTTTAGAGATAGAAGAAGGGAGAGGGGGAGAGAGATAGACACATCAGAGAGAGAAACATCAACCAGCTGCCTCCTGCAGGCCCCGTATTGGGGATTGAGCCTGCAATCTGGTCTAGTTCCCTGAGTAGGAATGGAACCCATGACCCTCCAGATTGTGGGCTGACACTCTAATCACTGAGCCACGTTGGCCAGGGCTCTAACCAGAGTTTTGACGTCCCTGAAGGGCTCAGGGGAATTTGAAACCCCAGACCACATGGTGCAGTGGTGAGTGCTTGCTCTGGAGTCAGACTGGGTTAAAATCCCAGTGCTGCCCCTTCCGAGCCACGTGGCCTCGGATACGTGGCCACCTTCCCATGCCTGTTTTCTCATGGTACTGCCCTCACAGGATTAAATACACGAAAACACACCAGTGATCAGGGCAGAGCGTGCCTGGCACAGCGTAAGCACCTGGTACACATTGTCATTAGTATTCAGCACGTACACACTAAGCCCTGCTCTGTGCCAGGTGCTGGTGTACACGGTGGTGAAGTGGCAAATATGGGCTCTTCTGTCCTGGAGCTGACGCTCTGAATGCCTTACAATGGAAAGTAGGTGGTGCCCTGGCCGGCGGGCTCAGCTGGTTCGGCGTCGTCCCACACACCAAAAAGGTTATGGGTTTGATTCAAAGGTCAGGGCACCTACCTAGGCTGCAGGTTCGATCCCTGGTCGGGGCACATACATGGATCGGTCGGGGTAACCGATCAATGTTTCTCTCTCACACTGATGTTTCTCTCTCTTTCTCTCCCTTCCTCTTTCTCTAAAATAAGAATAATAATGAAGAAAGTAAGCACCTCTCTTTCTCTCCCTTCCTCTTTCTCTAAAATAAGAAATAATAACAATGAAGAAAGTAAGCAAGTTTATTATCAAAGAGAGGGGTGTGCCGCGGAGAGAATGAAAAAGGATGATGCAGCTGGTGCCCCTGAGGTTTGGGTCCCGGATGAGGAGGAGGGCTTAGCTGCCAGCTCTGAGGTCATGGAGGGGCCATGGTGACTGGCAGAGCGTGACCAGGCAGCTGTGTAGGGTGGGAGGGTCGGCAAGACGCCGGTGTGTCAAGCTGAGACTGGATGACAAGGAGGAGCAAGTCTCCCGAGAACGAGGGGAGGTGCGTCCCCGGCTGAGGGAAGGGCACGGGTCAGTTCCTGAGTCTGGCCCCAGGAATGGACAGAGGGCAGAGTGTCCCAGAGGCTAACGGGAGGAAAGGAGAGAGTTACCGCATGAGATCTGAGGGGTGGCCCGGGGCCAGATCCCATCGGGCTTTTGTTCTAAGTGTCCTGGGAAGCTTTGGGGAGCTCTACGGAAGGGGATGACAATGCTTTTGTTGCATCGTGACCGTGCTGAATATTGTACAGGGAATGGGTTTTCAGAGAGGCCATTCAGTCGTATAACTGAGAGACAGTGGTGGCTTGGAACCCAGCGGTAGCAGAATGGAGAGTCGTGAATGGCTTGGAGAGTCCTGTTTGTGGTGGAGTCAGAAGGCGATGGGTTAAATAGGGTGGGTGAGAGAAAGCGAGATGTCAAGGACAATGTCAAGGACAATACTTGCATATCTGATTTGAGCAACTGGAAGACGGTGAACCTATTAGGTGGAAGACTGGGGTAGAAGTAGAGTGGGGGTTGAGGGTTTGGGATATATTGATTTTGAGACTCCCGTTAGGCAAGCTGGGTATGCAAATGTGGGGTTCAGGGGAAGGTCTAGGGAGGAGTCATTGGTTTGAAAGTCACCAGATGATGGTTAAGGCCATGGGCCCGAATGAGAGATCCTGGGGAGAGAATCTGAAGAGAGAGAATAAAGAGACCCAGGACTGCACCCCTCGGACCTGCGGAATCTCAAGGCCCAGGAGACGAGGAGGAACCGCTGAAGTGAAGCAGTGGTTCTCAAAGTGGGGTCCCGGGCCCAGCAGCACAGCATCGCCCAACCGGTTAGAAGTGCAGAATGTCAGACCGCTGAAGTGAAGCAGTGGTTCTCAAAGTGGGGTCCTGGGCCCAGCAGCACAGCATCGCCCGGTTAGAAGTGCAGAATGTCAGCCCCGCCCAGACCTCCTGCCTCACAGACTCTGGGCTGGAGCCGGGAAATGAGAGCTTTGAGGAGGTGATTGCTTTGCGGGCTAACGTTTGAGAACCACTGAGGTAGAAGGAAAACCGGGTGAAGGTGTGTCCTGGAAGATAAGAAAGTCTCTCAGGAAGGAAGGAGCCGTTAGCTCTGTGTCTAGTGCTGCCGAGGGCTCAGCCCAGGTGAGGACAGAGGCCTGGCCGTGCGGGTTTGTAGCACCGAGGTCATCGTTGGCCTTGACAAGAAGAGTCATCTTGGTGGAGTGCTGGGGACAGCGGCCAGCGGGAGCTGGCCAAGGAGTGAACTGGAGGGAGAAAGTGGCAGCAAAGACTACAGACCCGTGTGCAGCAAAGGGTTAACTCAGGGGGCGAAGGGTGCTCAATCCCAGAACGTTCTGAAGAAAGGACGAGCCTGGCAGGGAAGCCCCGAGCCCTCGGAGTAGCCTGCCTGGCATCACCATGTGCCTTGGGCCATGCCAGAGTGTGTGCTGACAAAGTGATATATAGGAAATGCCTGTTTTCATCTGTCCAGGACCCTGGGCCATGCTCAGTTTGGCCTTCGATGGAGACCGAGAACTAAGGTCCTTCATGTGAGTGCTCCCTGCCTCTGTGACTGACCCCCAGTACAAACCCTGGACACCCATGCTCAGGTGAGCGTCCTGGTTGGCAGTTTTCGGTACGTGTGCCACACCTCCTTGCCCGGACGCACCGCGCTGGGAGAAGCAGCTGGAGGCTCGCTCCTGGTGTCCTGGACCTGCCCCTCTGCCTTTTCTGTTGCTGCTTTTACCTGTATCCTTTCGATGTAACAAACCGTAGCCACGAGTATAACCTCTTTTCTGAGTTCCCTGAGTCCTTCTAGCGAATCAGCAAACCTGCGGGTGGGGACTCGACACAGGAAGCTTTGCTCCGAAAGGAGAGAGGAGGGGGTGATGCTGGCGAAGGTGTTGGCTGGGGTGGGGGATGTGTGAGGAGTATTGGGACAAATTTGAATGGCGGTCAGAATGATAAAAGAGACAAGAAGTTGGAAATTCAGCCCGGCCGGCGTGGCTCAGTGGTTGAACCAGGAGGTCACAGTTCGATTCTGGTCAGGGTGCACGCCTGGGTTGCGGGCTTGATCCCCGGTGTTGGGCGTGCAGGAGGCAGCATACCGATGATTCTCACCATTGATGTGTCTCTCTCTCCCCCTCCCTTCCTCTCTGAAATCAATAAAAAAATATTTTTAAAAAAGAAGTTGGAAATTCAGGAGAGATGAGCATGAGAAGGTGAGGGATGGGGCCTCTGGCAGGAGCAGGGGCCGCTAAGGACAAATCCATGACGCTATAGATGGAGCAGGAGGGTGCGGGCTGTGGCCCTAAGATGGTGTGGACAGGGAGGCTGGGGACCAGGGCAGGCCTCCCGGGGACGGGTGGGTGCTGGCGGGTGGATGGGGACTGTCAGAGCCCAGTTTAGAGGCCGAGCAAGTCAGAGGTGTCCAGGTAGACCATGGGGAGGGGAGAGGAGGGGTTGAAACACACCAGGGCCAACTTCCTTCCCCTCCCCCATCTCCCCAGGACTCCAAGGGAGGCCCCACTTGGGGGTCCAGGCACGTGACTCAGGCAGATTGGGTCTCAGGGAACAAGTAGGGACCTGGTTCCTGGAACTGGGGCACAAGGTGGGGATGGGTGTTGGGAATGAAGCCAAAGCCAGTTATCAGAACTGGGCCACGTTCCACGTGGGACTTGTGTTCTTTACATTCTCCTACATCCGTCCTGGGAGATGAGGTACATCCGCCCCTGGGGCCTGGCAGAACCCGTCAGACTGGGGGGATAGGTGTTTTGGGTGAGGCCTTGGGCACCAAGGTGGCACCTCCTGTCTTTGCTGCTGCCCCCCCGCCCCCCAGCCCCAGCTCCAGTCTTGCAAGTACAGCCTCGGAGTAAACATGTTTATTTTGAACATTTCAAATTTACAAAAACAAGAGTGACAAAATCCATGACATATCACACACACACACACATACACACACACACACACACACACACACACACGTTGCATCTCACGTCACTATATACAAAATTGGGCCAGGAGGACGGGAGGGGGCGGGTCATCGGTAGGATGCACTAATTTCAGTGTCCAACAGCTTGACAGGCTCTCTCACTGCTCAGCCTGGGCCCATGTGAGCCTCTTCTCCACCCAGCAGGGTCAGAGGTCAGGGGTCAGGGGTCAGGGGGACTTGGGGTGGCAGGCAGTTGGGACAAAGAAAATGATCCCACCTCTGGGAGGGGGCCCCTTCCCCAGTTTGTTCAGGGCAAAGGTGCAGGGAAACAGAAAAGAGGGGGCCAGTTCCGGGGAGTGAGCACTTAACGCAGAGTCAGAAAGCTGGGCTCAGGTCTCCTGCTGTCCCAGCTGGGGGCCCCCGGTGTCCTCATGTGTAAAATGAGGGCTTCCAGGCTCCCATCTCTCTAAGAGCCCTTCTGTCCAAGGCTGTGGCCCGAGGTCATGCACATTGTGGCAGGTGATCTGGCCCCTTGGGAGGTTGACAGGGCACAGCATGCCGCAGAGGTGGGAAAGGCTGGCAGAGAAGAGCTGTGAGCACCTGGAGCAGGGCTTGGGCTGTCCCCTCCCCTCCCCTGCTCGGGGTTCTTGGGGGGCAGTGTACCTTTCAGGCCTCCTGGAATCTCCAGCCAGTGGAGGAGGGGTGGGTGCACTGCAGAGGGACACAGCCTCCCCAAGGGGACCCTGGGCCTACGGGTGGCCAGGCCTGCCTCTGTTCCTCCACCTCAAACTCTG